GTCTCTATCTCTCGGCGCCAAAATTTGATCACGTGACTTTAGTTGCGAAACCGCAACGAGACTCAACAAGACTCGGGAGAAGAGGCGAACCATATTCATGCGTCAAATTCTCCGGTGGGAAAATTAATTATCGTACCGACGAAGAACTCGTATCATCTCTAGGTTCAGCGTTCACTGCAATCAATTTCTTGAGCTTTAGACGCTCTTTTATAATAGGGATGTAGTGCCTTGGTACGTCTGCATCTTGGGCGATGGCAAGGAGATCTTGGCCATCGCAACCGTCTTTTTCTGCAAGATAAGATACGAACAAAGATCAATGGAGCGGTCAAGTTTGTGAATGTAAAGTTGCAGTAAAATACGTTGTTAAGAAATTTCTTTTGCCTACCTTTCCTTTCTTAAGTCTCATTCCATGCGAATGTAGCCAAGAAACAGCCTCTTCAGTGACGAATTCGCTGCTATAATTCATTATTGTGTCCGACGCACGTGGTCTAGGTTCGACTAATGCCATCACAGGCAGCTCACGCTCACGTCTCGAGAAAAAGCCAACGATTAATTCGTTGTGTGACTCGGTGTTCAGTTACGAGAGGAACCGTTGAAAATTTGAACACTTTATAAGGAATAGTATAGGGAACGAAATATGGTTGAAAAAAGAAAATTATTTTTATATTTTCTTTTTTTTTTAAAAATTGCACCTCGTTGGGGCCAAATTGGTCAGTCCTACTTGGCTCTTGGAAGGGCCAAATTGAGAAAAAGTTCTAAAGTAGAATTCAAAGGGGCCAATTCAGATTTTGGAAGGGTCGAAATGGTACCTGTCCCGCCCGTTTTGGCTCAAATAGTCCAAAACCAACCTTGATGGGCCAAACTGGCCCTCGAGAAATTGGGGCCAATTTGGCTTTTGGGGTCAATTTGGCTTTTGGGGTCAATTTGGCTTTTGGGGTCAATTTGGCTCTTTTCATTTTACAGTGTACGTACCTTCGCGATGTTTACACTTTACAAAATGACTTTCTACCTTAAATTTCTTAGTCTTACAGTCAAGGTCGGATGAAACAAAAACAAGATTGACAATATGACAATTAGAATCATACTTGAAAAGATATCTTAAGAGGAAATAGTCTTCGAAGGCTTTTACAAAACAACAGAATAAACAGAAAATTCGGAAAAGAAAGGGCGTACTCAAGGTACCGCCCCTAAAAGAGTTACGTGCTATTCGTATAAATTACCTGATTATAAATTTAGTGCGGAAGATGAAAACTGACAACATGTTTACACCTTAAGACACCTTCAAGGAAAAGAGGTATCGAGCGTGCTAAATTATACCTGTAAGATAGACCGCCTAAAGGAATAAGAAATGATCAACCGGCTTATTACAATTTTTACTCAATGGCTTTTGCTAATATATCATTTCCATTAATTTTCCACGTTCAAATAAGTTAAAAACACCTATAATGAAAATTCTTGCTACATGCCAATTTTGTCTTTTAACATTAGCTGAGGTGGGATGTCTTATCAATTTAGGTCTCACTGAAACAACGACAGAATTTAAGTTACACAAGCATTTATCTTGGAAAACTCGCTCTGTGTATGTTCATTTTAACAAGTATGTTTAACAAGTATACTTTGCAAAATAGACTTAATTTAACAAATAGGAAAACCTCGACTGTGCCTTGTTCTGTTGTAAAGCACGCAGGAAGCACCTAGAGGACGAAAGAAGTGCAGTATTACTGCGTCAGTGAATGACAATTAACTCGTTTGAAAATGTAAATTGTCCACCGTATCAGGTTTCTAAGCTGAAGTTCCAAGCGTTAGGTCTTTGTCCGAGCATTTGATTGTTTTACCTTGTTCTCTAATTGGCGTTGCTTCATCAATAAACATCATTATAATAAAGTACGGATATAGTGCGCGCTGTCATTGGTTGAAAGAGCGTGCTCTATGAGAGTATAGAGCATAGAACTGAGCTAAAGCTGTCACACCATCTGCCAATTGTACTATGTTCGACCTTTTCCGGGACTTCTTTTTAGCTTTTTTTCCGATAACTGAAAGTGAAATTTCGGAACTGAAGCGAGCCGGCAAGTAGCAACAGAAGAACCAAACAAAGGTTTGCAAACATACCAGGCGCCGTAATTGCCCCCGCAGGGTTTTTGGCCCCAGAGGGCCAAAAACCCGAGGAGGCACCTTAGGACTCCCCGTGTAATATAGAGGAAGACTGGAGAAGAGAGAATGTGGGTATTTTCGGTAGATCATAACCAGAAAAAATCTCGATTTGATCGCTTGCACGGCCGCAAGGTATCAATGTTTTTCCCGCAAATGGTCATGGGCTGCCAGTAAAAAGACACGCGCGCGAGGACTTTTAGGATCGGCGTCTTTGACACGAGATTTGTCCTAGTATAGAGGAAGACTGGAGAAGAGAGAATGTAGGCCCTCTTAAGGTATAATTTTGTGTCTAATAACTATATAATAATAAATTGTTCTTAAATGCTGTCTATAAATTGTTCTCCAATGCCACCTATAACATTCCAATGTTAAAACTCACCCAAGTCCCTACATTCTGCTTCTTCTTGATCGTGAAGAACAAACAAAATCCTAAGTTAAACCACACAGCAAAAAAAAAAAACCCCAAGCACTTCGCAAAACTACATTTTGTACACTTGTAGTATTTTGAGATGCAAAATTACTAACACCAAAGTACTGAGCCGCAATTCCGTAACAGCATAACAGAAAAATTACACAACTGTAAACAACAAGCCCAACTCAAAAAGAAAAAAAAAAAAAAAAGAAAATGGTATTGTAGGGCGGGGGCAGCTCTAGTGAGAACTATAACTAGTTTACGTGATTAAAACGTGAGCAGATACGAAAATCCAAAAGGAAAAACAAAATAGACATTCCGAGTTTTAAAGATTTTCACGCTCAGTTAGATTGCAAGCTTACGTACGGTAATAAAAATCAAACACAGCTAACACTCGTATAGTATATAAAGTTCAGTGTTCAAAAACAAAACAGAACAAAACAGAAATGATGAAAAATATAACCAAACTGGCATAACTGTTAAAATTCATACTAATCATGACGGTGTCTGAGCGAATGTGATCATGCTGAAGTTCATCGCGGCTCGCTCATCATGGCGATCTCCGGTCATCACGGTAAAGCAAGCCTCAGAAACTACATCGGCCGGCCATCGAGTAAAAAAAAATAAGTGCTTGCTCTGATATCCTTTCCGATGCGTTGAGTGGAAAGTCACATCAGTCACTGCAACCGAGTTCTGCGGCGCTGCCATCCCGAGCGATCTTCATGTTCCGGTGAATTCGGCTGTCGTTCATTCAAAAAACACTCGCCTTGAACAGTTTGTTTTCTACCTTGTCATGTGAAAAAACTCACGTGTTTTTATGAGCCATAATTCGGCTGAAGTTCAGTGAACATTTCACTTCAAGATTCTGTATTACAGACTTCAAGCAAAAGTGTTAAATTCGACTTGCCGAACTATTTTAGTTTGCAAACTATCGTAGAATGTGAACTTTGATGGTTTTGAACTTTGATGGTTTGACACTTTTGACAGCTTTAGTCTTGTACAGCCAATCAGAGTATTTGAACCAATCTAACAGGGATTCTGATTGGCTTATTGTAGCGTGTTTTATGAGAGTATAGAGCATGCTGACGACACTGTTGTTCGCTTTGGAAATAAAGTTTGTTTTGGAAATTGAAAGTAATGCTTGGGTACTTAAACGGATCCTTTATTATAAAACAAATAGAGAAGCCTTGACTGTGCTTTGTTCTGTTATAAAGCACTTAGGAAGCGGCTAGAGCACTCAAGAAGTGGGAAGAAACACTCGACTACGTCTCGTATTTCTCCCTACAATTCTTTCGTGCTCTAGCCGCTTTCTGCGTGCTTTATAACAGAACAGAGCACAGTCAAGGTTTCTCTATTTGTTAATTAGGTTATATTTTCGGACAACGACCCCTTATCAGTCGGTCTCGATCGATTATGGTATTTCGGAAAATTCTTAAAAATAATTAAACTATGTATAATTTTACATGCTACTTTCTGTACATGATAGATTGCACTTGGAATTTTAGCTTCCGATTTATTTAACGTTGTCAATGCGTGATAATCTTTATAGCGTTTTGGCATCCTTAGTCCAAACAATTAAATAAATGACGAAAGCGATCTTGCTAGCAACTCAAATTACTGCATCAAGTACGGTTGCGTTGGAGACCTGTGTCCAAACTGTTACATATATATAAATTAGAAGTAGTAACAGGAGACAAGCAGTAACACAGTTTCGTTGTGACAAGATGAATTGAAAAGTTCAAAGTTGGAAGGGATTTAGAGAAAGAAAAGTTATAAAATATATTTAAAAGATGACAGAAGTTTTAATTTTTTTTTATTTTTTTCCCTGTCAGACTCTGTTTTTTTGTTTGGGTCAGGAATCCTCCGATGAACGTGGTATTCTTCTAATTGGATGTGGCGTTTACCTCAAAAAGTCCCATTTACGGATTGAATATGATATTAGGTCAGAACTTATGCTGTCCAATACGCAGGAATTTGGACAGAAAAAGCATTTGAGGGCGAGCTAACGTCACGTCATACCAGAGGTATTAGCTAAATATTTATCCACAACCCATGAGTGTACACCCTATGTTAAGCGTGCCTGCATTTGATAAGTCAGGGAAACTTCGGTGGGTAACAAAATACAAATAATAATAATAATAATAATAATAATAATAATAATAATAGTAATAATAATAATTAAACGCTCCATGCTCTCGTTAATAAGACGAGTCGCAATAACTAAAGTCTTCAGTTTTATTTTACAATCTGATGAGAGAGAGGATCTGGATAGGTTAACATATGGCCCTTCAGTACACAGAAAGAAAGTTGGCATTTAGGTAAGTTTTTGGTTGTCTATCATCCCGTTTGGGTTGTTGGAAGACACTTTTTGCGCTAACTTAACAAAATTCTTATAATCGAATTAAGCTTTGTTTTTACATTAAGATTTTATCACATTAGTATTAGCCTTGACATACGTTTTGTTCCTTGAGTTGGTATATATTGATATCTATTCAGAAATGCTTTGGGAACCTCATTAGTCGTTCGTAAAATTGTGAGATGCTGGTTTGCTCAACCAGTGCCTCTAAAATGTTTTAGTTCAAATTGAACCTTTTCGAATTTGTTTTATCACCAGGTTTCTGTCGACAACGCCTTCATCGTGTAATTTTGATATCTCGGAGCTCAATTTTATTCACATTCAATCCGGTATAGTAAAAATGTTATTATTCTTCACCTGCCACTTTTACCGTTTTCCAACGGTTATAGCTTTGAGGCCGTTGTCTTCTTTTCAGGTTCAAGTTAGAAAAAAAGAGTTATTAAATGAAAAACAAAGCTGCATACCATGAACGAAGTACAATTAGATAAATACTCTCCGTTTGATGTGAAATTCTGATTCCTTTTTTTTTTTTTTTTTCTGTAGCACTTTCCATGAATGACATATTTTGACCCGCACGTGTGGGAAGATCTTTCACAACAACAAAAATTAAAAAAAGAGTCAGAACAAAAAAATTCACCATCCATCGAAAAACGTGACTTTTTAAAATTTTTTTGCAACAAGGCCGTACAAGTGCAACAGGGTCGGACTAATTTTCCCGGACCAGCTCACTTCTACCCTTCTGGCCCTATACACTTAAGCTTTCACCATTTTTTTTTCTTTAATTTTTTTTTAATATTGGATTGCGCGAGCAGAGCCGGACGGGTCATATGATCATCGTGTATTGATTCAGTTGCCTTTTGAGTGAACCAACCCACTCGTCAACTGGTATATCGGATAATTGCTACCGTCGACCACTCAGTTTAGGAACCCTGAAGAATACATCAAAGTCTTTTATTATTGTCAATAGAATATATATATATATATATATATATATATATATATATATATATATATATATATATATATATATATATATATATATATATATATATATATATATATATATATCTGTGTGTGTGTGTGCGCGTGTGTGTGTGTGTGTGCGTGTGTGTGTGTGTGTGTGTGTGTGTTACTGTCCTTGGATTGTTTTTTCTACCACATTAAATATGGTCTTGAACAATTTTTTTGGTAAAAAACAGCTATATTGCGTTTTTACATATCTACGCCATTTTGTGCTTTGTATTTGATAACATGCAGTATGATGCAATATCTCGTGTCCAACAGAGTTGACAGAGCACACGATACTAATGTCTAATACCTTTAGAACCTTTAAACCAATTTCCGATTAATATTTAGCAAAAAAAATGACCAACATGCGAGTAAACTATGAATTTCCGGTGTTAAGCTAGTAAATTCCCTTTGAACAAAAACAACCAAAAAAAAAATGAGAGTACAACACTGCTTTGTGTCATTTAACAATACTGCCTTACATTTCCAATAAGGGAGAACCTCGTTCGTGGAGAAAACGCAGTGCATCCGGTTCAAGTGAGACAATAGCCTGGACCCTTTTATGATTATACTTCAGTGCCTCAGAAGCGCCAGCCAAAAAGTTTGGATGTACTCTGCTCGTAAGCTAGTTCACTAGTTCACCTGCTAGCAACACCGTAGGTTTTAGTTTGCTCATTTTTCTAAAAGTTTCTTCTGCAAATCTGAGAGAACACTTCGTTGTCTGTAAGAACTAATTTTCTGGGCTAGACTTAATAACTACCCGAAATCTATGTGCGTGTTCTAATTTTTTCACCTAAGTCATAATCTTGATTGCGTTTCAACTGATTACAGCTTTGAATTGGATCAAGCTTTAGACCACGAAATGAATTTTGTTCCCTCGAGCTCCACCATGCTGCTCTTTGTACTTTTCTTGACGACAAATCTTTTAACAAATGCAGCCCCGTTAGACTGCCACAACGACACTGGAAGCTCCCAGAAAGAAATACTGCTACAACTTTCTGAAATTCAAAGTCAAGTGAATATTCTCAGGGGAAACGGAACATCAGTGAAAGGTAAGTAGATATAGAAATTACATACACCTCCTGATTCTAAACATTCGCACCAGTGAAGAGAAACTTGTGACACCAAACAAATTATTATTCCAACAGTCAGTACATTTCGATAGTCATGGTGAAGTTTGTTTATTAGGGCGCTGGTTTATTGAAATGATGATATTTTTTGGGCGACTTAACAGAAATCAGAAATACTTAGAAGTTTTCATTCTTAAGGTATACAAATATGTACAATTCAGTTGACGGAAATTGCATATTTTTGCCTTGTCAGCTAGGAACTGTGCTGACGTGCACAAGTTTGGTGGAAGAATCAGCAATGTCTACACAATCGACCCTCATGATGGTTTAGGCGCCTTTGACGTGTTTTGCGACCAGACCACAGCTGGTGGAGGATGGACTGTACTTCAGAAGAGACTTAATGGCTCCATGGATTTCAATCGCACCTGGGAAGAGTATAAACATGGTTTCGGAAATTTCTTCACTCAAGAATTTTGGCTCGGACTGGACAAAATCCACCGTTTGACAAGAAACGGGACGGGAAATAGACTTCGAGTAGAACTGGGAGTAAGTAATGAAGAGCTTGTTTACGCTGAGTATGGACTATTTGTCATCGGAAACGAGAATACTTCTTACCGGCTGAACAACCTTTCAGGTGAGCTAGTCAGATGCTTCGTTTAGCTTATCCTCATTTTCCTCATCAGTAATTATTGTCCTTATTTCTTTAGCCTTAAGCTCCTCTTTATTTATCATCGCTCTGCTAAGTAATCTTTCCTATGTTATCTTATCTAAATAAAAATTTTCCCCAAGAAACTGCATTGCAGTTTCGTGCAAGGCATGTACGTGCTCCTGTCGCACGAATGAATCAGGTAAATAAATTGTCTCATGGTAACCCTTTTGCTACTCGGTGCCGAAACCTGAATATGTTAAAGTTGAATGTTAACAGAAGTCATATTTTTCTTCAAGTTTTTAGTTTTCTTGAGATAAAAGTTACCACGTTTTGTATGCAAAATATCTCTCAGTGTTTTAATCAAACTTAAAAACAGTTGAGACAAAAAGAAGTTGATTTATTCATTAAAATTTCCCTCGTTTTTCATCAGGTGCAGCGGAGAATGATCCTCTTGGTTACCATAGGAACTTCTCCTTTGGCACTTGGGATAGAGACCCTGCTAATGGCAAGTGCGATGCATACGGGAGACTTGGAGGAGGCTGGTGGTACGGTGAAATATGCGTGGTAAATTCAAACCTCAACGGTCTTTACCCAAGCCGTGGAACTAAAACTCCTATGGGCGACATTACATGGGCAAAATTAGGAAGCACTGCTAAGGCAAGCACTCCTGCAACCACTGAAATGAAAATCAGACCGGTGGGCTATAATTAGTGTTCTCTTACCAATAATTCCCTCAAATACTACCTGACGTGAACACTCTATTACAAAAAGTTAAAGAAAAATTGATTGATACGTTTTTTCGTCAGGAGGATTGTACTAGAATGAGCTAAGATCGTATTTTTTTTCTAAAGCTAAAACCAAGACATAGTTTAAGTAACAACAGGGAAATATATCTACGAAATACACCCTGATTAACTGAATTCGAATACTAGTTAGTTTAATGAGCCACACGTATACACTAAAACAGAAGTAACAATATAGTATTATGTACTCGCAACTGCTAGATTTCAATAAACAATTCTGTATTATGTTGAACACTTATGTGTTGCGATTAAAAGAGCTTAATTTTGCTACATTGCTGAAGTCGTTGTCCATCATTTCCACTTGTTTTTCACCCGACAAGCTTCTCGGTCACTCGTCCTTAGAGGGAGCGTGCACCCAAAAGTTATGTATATTTGTTATTGGATATTTTCTATAGAGAAACTGGGCCTTTTAGGTAAGAAGATAAACTCTGGCAAACTTATCGTCACGCCTTTACAGCGAAACCCAGTTCCATTGACAAAAACTTACCTTTTACCCTGTAGAAGGTTCTAAACTTGAATTTTTTTTGGCTTGTTTGTTTGTTTCTAATGTGCGCGGCCTCTCCAAAATGTAATTTTGGTTTGGCTCTTCAGACGACGATTTGGATGCTTCAAGCGGGAAAAAGAGGGTCTAGGTCAGAGGCTGACACGTATAAATCTTTATTGTTATTCTATCGGTTTCAATCGCTTGCGATTCTTCCTTGAAAGAGATTTTACTCAGTATAACTTTGCGTGCTACTTCCTGTGTGTGGTAGATTGCGGTTGAAATGTAGATACTGAGTTTAATATAGCTACCAATCTCCGATCTGAATCTAGTATCCTCAGTGCCTGTTGCTTTCCTTGGGTATTGATAAGTCAGGATTGGTCAAAATCATTTTAAAAGTAAAATGTCATTTTTAGAATCTCTTTACAGTGGCAAATTTACATTCTAAACTCAGTTGATGAAACCAAATCATTGATGCAGTACAACTTACTACTTTCTTCTTGGTTCAAGGTTCATTTAAGATGGTATGAAGATGAAAAGCAGGTTTGATTAGAGCTCACTGTCCTTGTTGCCGTGGATCTTAAAGACCTACCTCTTAGATAAAGCACGAAACTTGCTGTTCGACAATAGCTAGTTCCTCAATAGAAGCACCCTTTATTGACGCAAGCATTCCTTTATTTACACTTTCAAAATGGGAAATGGTTTTTCAGTCCAAACATCGAATAATTTTTAAAACGTTGATAAGATTTAAACTTAAACAAGAGTAGATTCATCACCGTTCTGCTTTAGCCATAAGATAATTTGCCATTTCATTTTACATCATCACAAAACGATAATCCATCAGCGTCCAAAGAAAGTAAGCGGGTCTTCAGTGAGATAATTTCTTTAGAAAAACGTGACTGAAGAAAATAAAAAAGAAACCAATTATTTGAACGACGTGATGGTTGGCATGCATTGAGCAGGAGATTGATTCTCGAAAGAAGACGGAAACAGTGAAAATCTTTCGAGAAAGAAATGTGCGTCGAGGTCCGCTCTATCGATTTTGACATTGAGTCTTGCGTGATTATGATCGAGAGGATTGATGGCATTTCCTGAGAAGAGTGAACAATTATTATCTTTTTCGCCAATTTTCTTAGTAGAAATCGAGTCTCAGGATTTGGATTTAAGAAAGTCCTTGACATTTCGTATTTGTGGTCGTTTCATCTCTCGCTGAAATTCCGAGACTCTTGAGGGAGCCTCCTTGGGATTTCGTCAAAGAAGCGGAAAAGGCTTGGTAGAAGAAAATTTGAATCTCTTGCTCACCATTAAGAGTCAATTTCAATCGCAGTGTTGAGCTGCTGATTGAGAATTGTAACGATTCAGCTGCTACACTTCATCGCCTGACGAAGAAGAAAAAACAATGAGAAAGTTAACAAGATTTGAAATCATCACGATTGACATTATATATTCCAATTAATTGTAATAATTGAATTAAATGAGGAGAAAAGTACAAATGATAAAATGAGGAATACATAACTGCACGTGATGTTTGAAATGCATGAAGAAAACAGCTTTATTAGTTATTGCTTCCACTAATCCCTAGAAACAAAGGCACTACGTGCAGCCTTGTAAGCCCTTGAATCAAAAGACTTGTGAAAGGACTACAAAATAATCGGACTAACGTAAACAATTCGCAAAAAAGTTCACAACACAGCTCTTTTATGAGACGATATTCAGTTTTAAGAATCTGACAACTAGACAAGACAGTCAAATCAGGAAACGCATAGAGAGGACTAAGCAATTTTGACTTGATTACGTGGCGTAATTTGATTAGATAACGAAACATGGGTTGTGCATCGAAGACAAACCTTATTAACCATAAAAATAGCCGTAGTAGGTTATCAAGTCTCTTATCCAATGGGCGGTCAAAACATTTCTCAAGAATATAGTTGGATCAAACGACAGTCTCGAACATAGGCAGTTTATTGTGAGCATGGCAGATTAACCTCGTCTTGACACTATCGCTTTGCGACTCATAGCTACTAACCATTGATAATCAATTGCGTGTTCGTCTAAATTCCTCGAAACAAATTAATCGTTGTTATTATCATATGAAAAACATCGTTACACGTGTACCAACCAGGTAATACGAGATAATCTAATTTTCATTAAATTGGATTATATCCCATAGTCTAATGGCACCGAGATTATTTACACGTAGGTAGGGAGGAATAGTTTTTAAAGTAGCCCACACGCACCCCAGCACGAGGTATCATAGTATAGAGTTTTATTTTATTTTATTGAAATATTTCTAATTTTTGCAACTTCCACAACCACCTGATTCAACTTATCTGTTTGTACACAGGTACACTCTTAGGAACTTACTTCACAAGTTTACGTGAGCGTAAGAGCCAACTAATCTCGGAGGATCAAATCTTACTTTGAAACCTTCCCTAAAAACTGTCACAGGACTCATTCACGTTAACAGTATTGTGGTTTATATTTTCCCTTAAACGAGGACTTAGTGATGGTTTAAAGCAAGGCCAGTAGTGAAAGCCAATTCAAAGACAATGTTGACGGACGGAAGCTAGTTATGGAGAATCAAGCCCTAATTCCGTTCATGCACATGGACAAATAAACATGGAGTGGTCTCTCAGATGTGCAGAAACGTGTTTCTAGTGTTTCTTAAACATGAAAGCGATCTTCGTAGTGATGAACAGTACTTGAGCGGTAGTCAAATCCCACACAGGCCTGAATTTTTTTCAGGCCTTATTTTTACTACCACTCAAGTAGCGGTCAAGCTGTATGCATAAACTTTTGTGATTGAACTAATTTAAGATAAAGTGCGCCTTTTAGGTAAGATGATTAACTATCACAGACCTATCGCTACGAATTTACAACGAAAGTAATTCCCTGCATTCTGGCCAATAGAATGTTCTAAACTAGGACATCTCAATACTATCTGACCATTCTTCCTTTTTTGTGAAATTGCGCTGTCTCTTCAAAAAATTTCACTGGTTTGTTTCGCTAGAAAACGATTTTAATTTTTCGTGGAGGGCAAAAGAGGGCCGAAGCCAGAGGCAGGCAAATAATATTTATCATTACTCTGTCGAACTTCATCGACTACGATTCTTCCTCGAAATTGATCGTAAAGAGCTTTACTCTAGGTAATTTTGCGTGCCACGTCCTGTCTGTAGTAAATTGAATTAAACCTTGGATTTGGTCTGTTAATCCGAATTTAACGTCTTCTGTTCGTGATGCTTTCCTTGGGTATTTTTAGGTCAGGATTGTTTGCAAAGAATTTATCAGTTTTATTTAAGAGTGTAAGGTTATTATATGACAAATTAACATAAAATTCTTAAGAGATCGCTTCCATTGTACAGGAAAAGCGTTCACGAAAGAAATCATATCATGGCATCACCTGGCTACTTTTAGTTAATAGTTTTCACTGCAAACGATGAACGAGAAAATTCTAATTAATTATCGTTTGCGTCTTAGCACCTGTCTTGAATAAGATGAAATATTTACATTGCAGGAGAACCAGGTCTTTGGCTCGATCATCGTAATTTGATTTTGTTAAAACCGTCGAGTTGATGATGTAAATCGGCGCCCGTGAATAGATTTCAAAGCTGACGTTTCAAGTGTTTACGTGCATTAGAGCAAATCCACTCCACAAACTAAGGGCTTGCTATACCTCTCGAAACGCTTCCCTTAGATCCCTTTATGGAGGCCACTTTACAGGACCTTGTGTTTAGCCTCTTAGGGGTTGGACAAAACTTTTCGACTGTCACGTTCTCGACTGCGATTGTTGGTCAATCAAGGTTACGCTATTGAAACCAAAATGCTACACTAGGACAGTTACTTCATAACTGCATTACGTGCCATGTAATTTAATGAATCTGAATGAGCTGTCCTGGCGTAGCGTTTTGGTCGCTTCAACGGCTTCACCTCGATTGACCAACAATCGCAGTCGAGAACACAACAATCAGTGTTTAATGGAAGAGAAAAGTTCATATGAAAGAGGCTCTCGGGTACCATTTGCAAAGTAAGAGGAAGGAGAAAACCAAATCATCCTGAACGATGCAATTAAGTGGCATACATCGAAATCAGGAGATCGATTCACAGAGGAAAACAATGGTAGTAACAATGTTTAAAAAAAACGGCAGCTTAGAGTTCGTTTATATCTGTTTTGAACATGTAGCCTTGCGTGATTATGATCGAGTTAATTCTTGGCATTTCCTTAGACGAATAGACACATTTAAGACATTCCTTGACATTTGCGAAAAAAAAAAAAAGAAAAAAAAGGGCCCCTTCATCGTGCTGATATAGCTCCTATCTAGTGACCCTTGTCCGAACCTCTTTGAGACCAAGAATATCGATCAGATTTCTTTAAAATCCTGAAATATAGCGGTGTTCCTCTACGATTTTGATTTTTGCCTCATTTCCAT